ATATTGGTCTATTCAAAATTTTGATCTCTTCCTTTTCAATTTTGGGAGTTTGTGTGTTTTCAGGAATTTATCCATTTCCTCTAGATTTTCTAATTTCTGCGCATAGAGTTATTCATAGTATTATTCTCTGAGGATCTTTTGTATTTCTGTGGAATCAGTTCTAATATCATCTTTGTCATTTATGATTGTACTTATTTGGATCTCTCTTTTCTTGTTGTTAATGTAGTTAGCAGTCTATCGATCTTACTTATCTCTTTGAAGAATCCACTTCTGTTTTCATTGATCTTTTGTAAGGATTTTTACATCTCTATTTTGTTCAGTTCTTCTCTAACATTAGTTATTTGTTTTTTCTGCTAGGTTTTGGGTTAGTTTGCTCTCTGTTTTCTAATTCCTTTAGGTGTAAAGTTATAGTTTTAATTTGAGATCTCTCTTACTTTTTGATGAAGGTGGTTACTGCTATAAACATTCCTCTTAACACAACTTTAGTTGTGTTCCAGATATTTTGGTAATTCAGTTCCTATTTTCATTAATTTCAAACAAATTTTAAATTTATGCCTTAATTTCATTCTTCTTCCAAAAGTTATTCAGGAGCAAGTTGTTTAATATCCATGTATTTGGGTAGGTTTAAGATATTTTCTTGATATTTCTGTTTTTATTGTACTGTGGTGTGAGAATGTGCTTTGCATGATTTAATTTTTTTTTGGAATCTATTGAGATTTGCTTTATGTTCAAGCATGTGGTCAATCTTAGGATATGTTCCATGTGTAGATGAGAAGAATATATATTCTGTGGTTGTTGGGTGGAGTGTTCTGTAGATGCTTATTAGGTCCAATTGGTCAAGTGTTGATTTTAAGTCCAGAGTTTCTTTGTTAGTTTCCTGCCTTGGAGGTCTGTCTAATGCTGTCAGTGGGGTGTTAAAGTCTCCCACTATTATTGTGTCTAAATCTGTTCATAGGCCAACAAGAACGTGTTTTATGAACCTGGGTGCTCCAATATTTGGTATGTAAATATTTAGGATAGTTAAATCTCCTTGTTGGATTTACTCTTTATTATTATATAATGCCTTTCTTTGTCCTTCTTAATTTTTATTGGTTTAAAGTCTATTGTATCTGATATAAAATAGCAACTCCTGCTCTTTTTTGTTTGTATGGTGTACCTTTCTTCATCCCTTTACTTTGAGCCTGTGTGTATTCTTACATCAAGATGGGTCTCTTGAAGACAGAAAATGGTTGGGTCTTATCTTTGTACCCAAGTGCTACTTGGTGCTACTCTGTGCATTTTAAATATGTCATTTAGCCCATTTACATTTAGGGTTAGTATTGATATGTGAGATTTTGATCCTGTCATCATTTTATTAGCTGGTTGTTATATAGACTATATTGTGTAGTTGCTTTATAATGCCAGTGAGCTATGTTCTTAAGTGTGTTTTTGTGGTAGCAGGTGTCGATCTTTTAATTCCATGTTCAGTACTCCCTTAAGGACCTCTTATAATGCTCGTGGTCTATTTGAAACAAATTCCCTCAGTGTATGCTTATCTGAGAATGATTTTATTTCTCCTTCCCTTATAAAGTTTATTTTAGTGGGATATAAAATTCTTGGTTGGAATTTCTTTTCTTTAAGGATGCTGAAAATATGCCCCTAATCTCCCCTGGCTTGTAAGGTTTCTGCTGAAAGGTCTGCTGCCAACCTAATGGGGTTCCCTCTGTATGGGACTTGACTCTTCACTCTAGCTGCCTTTAAAATTTTTTCTTTTGTATTGACCTTAGTGAATCTGATGAGAATGTTCTTTGGGGATGGTCGTCTCATAGAGTATCTAGCTGGAGTTCTCCATATTTTTTGAATACACATGTTAACCTCTTTCATGAGATTAGGGAAATTTTCATGAACTATATCATCAAATGTATTTTCCAAGTTGTTTATTATCTCTCCCCTCTCAGGAAGGCCAATGAGTTGCAGATTTGTTCTCTTTATACAATCACATATTTTTTGGAGTTTTTGTTTAATTTTTTAAAATACTTTTTTCTTTATTTTTGTTTGAGTTGATTCAAAGAACCAGTCTTTGAGTTTGGAAAGTCTTTCCTCAGCCTGGTCTATTCTGCTATTAATACTTCTGATTGTATTATGAAATTCTTACGGTGAATTTTTTCAAGTCTAGAAGTTAAATTTGAATCTTTCTGAAAATGGCTATTTCATCTTTGAACTCTTGGATTATTTTACTGGATTTCTTGAATTGAGTTTCAACTTTCTATTGAATCTTGATGAGTTTCTTTGACATCCATATTCTGAATTCTATGTCTATCATTTCAGTCATTTTATACTGATTAAGAAACATTGCTGGGGAGCTAGTGCACTCATTTTGAGGTAAGAGGACACTCTGGTTTCTAAATTGCCAGAATTCTTGGGCTGATTCTTTCCTATTTGGTAGTGTTAGTGTTCCTTTAAATATGGTGTGAGTTGAGTATAGTCACTTGGCTTTATTTCTGGATGTTTTGAAAGGGTAAAGGCTCTGTACAGCATCTTTATTTGTGGCTTAATGCTTTTTTTGTTTGTTTGTTTGTTTCACAGGGTGCTATATTAGCAAACTCTTTTTGGTGTGGCAGTTTGGGCTATGATCCAGTAGATGGCATGTAAGAGTAATGTGTGTTTGGCCCTTACTCAGCCACAGGGCTCCTCTGTATTTACTCAAGTTTCCAGCCATGCTTTGCAGTACAGTGCAGAGAGAGGTGACTTCCTCTCATTAGTTCTACTCCTACACCTTTGGGAGCCCCCTTTAATCACTGGTACTGTGTCTGCATTTCTTTTGTTAGGTGATCCAAGCTGTGGGGCTCCCTGAACAGAGGCTCCAGCAAGGAGATAGGCCACGTTCTTTCCAGGCTGGTCCTGTGGAGGGAGGCATGCCTTGCTCCTGTTCCAGCCCATGAAACCACACATCTCATCCCTCTTAGTGCTCTGAGAGTGTGGGTTTGTTTTCCACTTGAGTGCTGGCCACAGATCTTGGCTCAGCACTCTTGAGCTGCACACTGCAGCCTGGGACACCAGGATCAGCTAGTGGCTTTATCCTTTGAACCCTTGGAATTAGGTTCCACGTGCGCTAGGGGATCTAAAGTGCTCCCAGGCCATCAGGAACATAATCAGGTGGAGCAAAGCATCCAGCTGTGCAGTGGAGGCTGCTGTGCACATGTTCCTGTGAGAAGCCAGGCAGGGTGTGGAGGAGGGCCTGCAGAACAGATGTGCCCCAGTCCCATGGGGAAGTTGACCCCATTTTCTTCTGGCCAAGCAGTAGGCTGGGGCTAAAATTTCTTGGATGGAGATAGGGAACCTTGCGGGGATGGGTGCCTATAGCCAGGTTCCGCCAGAGATGTGTCGTGCACTAAGGCTCCTGTTTCTGCACTGGTTCAGGTACCATTTATGTCTACTCTCTGGACAGATTCCCCTGTCAGCTCAAATGTCCATAGGGTATGTTGGGTCCCCTGTAGCCAGGAATCCAGAGGTCCACAGCAAGTGTGGGTAGTCCCACAGTTCCTTCACTCACCCATTCCCCAGGACCCATTCAGGCCTGGGAACTAGCCCCAGTGTTTGGGTACCCTGGACAGGGTTACCAGCCTCCTCCCTCCTCAGCCTTAGCATCTGTGTTGCCATCTGCTCTTTGCATTTTCTCTCCAAAGATATGTCCAAATGTTGGTTTACTTGAAACTTTGATCTCTCTCAGGCATTTCTTGGCTATGTCACTGGCCCTCGTGTTCACCTTTTGTTCTACTGTTGTCTTGAAACTCTTAATAAATTATGAACACAGGATCCTGTATTTTTATTTTGCATCCTACCCCTCTCCTATTCCTCTCCACCTATGAAATTACTCTTAACTGTTTGTGACTTCAAGAAATTCTCTATGTATGTAAACATGTTTATAGGTATGCATTGGTTTTTACATCAATGGGATTATTCTGGATATAGTCTATAATTGCTTTGCCTCCTCAATTATGCATGTTGGAATTTTCCCATTACACAGCCTCTGCCTTCCTAGCATCTATTTCTTATTACCCATAGAGAGCCTCCATACTGCTGTGGCATGGCCTTTCTAGTGCTGATTATGTCACTTCTCTGTTAAAAATGGATAATGCTTCCCTTTTGCATATACAATAAATTAGTGCCTTGATAAATACATCAGGCTATTTAGACCTATTGGCAGTGTGCTGGCAAATTTGAGTTTCTGAGCATGCAAGTTCTGAAGAACACCTACAAACTAGGAGAGTCACAAAGATAAGCCCCTTTGCTGTGCAGTGAGCTAACTGGTCTTCTGAAGTCTCATCTAAGCATGGACTTCTATTTTCAAACTTTGCAACACCCTCTCTCATTAACAGGTATGAAAAACGATCTTTTTTTTTTTTAACCACTCCTTGGTAGAGTTACTAATAATCAGCCTAGAAATTAGTAAAGGTAATGTTGTGGGCTGAAAGTTTATGTTTCCTCCAAATTCATATGTTGAAATACTAATCTCCAATGTGATGCTATTAGGAGGCAGGGGTCTCTAGGAGGTCATCATGTTTAGATAAGGTCATAATGATAGAGGCTTCATGAAGGGATTTGTTTCCTTATAAGAAGATTCAGAGACTAAAACTCTTTCTCTCTCTTTGTTGTGTGATGACAAAGCAAGAAGGCAGTCAACAGAAGCCAGGAAGAGGGCTATCCCTAGAACCTGACCATGATGGCACCCTGATCTAGGACTCCGTAGCCTCCAGAACTGTAAGAAATAAATGTCTGTTGTTTAAGTCACCCAGTCTATTGTATGTTATTATAGCAGCTCGAGCTAAGACAAACAGGGAAGAGGGCCTTTAGCTTTTTACAAAGTTGATTAATCTACCACAGAGGGTTATTTTACAGATGAAGAAAATGAGCCTGAGAAACAAGACGTGTCATGCCCAAAACCGCAGAATTTAGTGATGAACTTAAATGAACATCTATTGCTTTTCAGGTTAATAGACTGTGACAGTTTCTTGGAATTTTTCTGAACACTCTAAATTCTGAGGTCAGAATGGTATTCTGAGCTTAGAGAAGTCTGGCTGTATGGCAACAGCTATTGTCATTGCTCCCAGTGCAACATTTATAGGATATGGAGGCTGGATTATCCAAGTTGATGCTTTAAAATGCCTGTGGAGGGCTGGGCGCGGTGGCTCACACCTGTAATCCCAGCACTTTGGGAGGCCGAGGTGGGTGGATCACTTGAGGTCAGGAGTTCGAAGCCAGCCTGGCCAACATAGTGAAACCCCATCTCTACTAAAAATACAAAAAATTAGCCAGGCATGGTGGCGGGCGCCTGTAATCCCAGCTACTCGGGAGGCTGAGGCAGGAGACTCACTTGAACCTGGGAGGTAGAGGTTGCATTGAGCTGAGATCGCGCCATTGCACTCCAGCTTGGGTGACAGTGCGAGACTCCATCTTAAAAAAATAAATAAATAATGCTCGTGGAGTAGCCACTCCCATACATGTATGATTATCAGTGAATTACTCAATCTCCCTGAGCTTTAATTATCTTAATCAGAAAAAAGATATGATAATGTCTACCTTAGCTGTGATTAGGAATAAATACATTTTTGATTTATTCATTTACTCAACAAATATTAAGTTACTATTCTGTGTCAAAAATGAAGCTCAACAATGAGATTATGGCAGTGGACCCTGCTCTCATGAAGCTTACAATCTGGAGGGATTTAAAGTGTAAGAAATCAGTTTCTTGCACAAAATCAATGCTCAATTAATAACACTGCAAAATATTTCTAAATGATTTTCTTGCCTTCTTTTTTTTAAAAAAGGAACTAACACTGCCGATTGATCTTTAGAGATATTCTCAATCATGAAAATTGGAACATCTATATTGAAATCACCATGAAGAAGATGTCCATCTTCCCATCCTGTCCTTCACCTCCTGTTGTTCTTCTTTAACTATTTGCTAGTAAATTGGCATACCTTCTGCCCAGTGCTTTTTTTCTATGTGTTTTAATAGAGCTTTGTGAAAAATCAGCTTTTGAACTCAGTCTCGCTCATGTGTGAGAGCTTACAAACTGTATAAGGAAATGTCCATCTAATAAAAAGCACTTTGAAAATCGGGTTAAGGATTACTTACTTGATGTTAACCAAGCATCTCGGTCTATGTGCCCATTTTGCATATCCGAGAGTTCTGCCAGACTCTACCTAGTCAGAGCATGCCTAGCAAGAAGACACTGCATGTCCCAGAAATCAGCTTAGAAGCCTCACTAAAGGAAAAATCAGCCTAGTGAGGTCCATGTGAGACCTGCCCAGGAATGTGAAAGAAGATCAGTAAGGTTAGTGCGTAAAAACAATGCCATGCACTTGGAAAGCTCTAGAAGTGAATCTTGCATGCAGGACCTTTTGATTTCCTGTGCTGAGCTGCAGATGTCTGTTTTCACAGCAGTGCCTGCCAGAGCTGCAGTTGACAAGGCCAGCTGCTCTCAACTGCCAACTGTCAGTTGACGTGGCAAGCTCCTACCAATTTGTGCTGAGAAAACAGCATGGAATCGGGTCAGCATAGGACAAGACTTTAATATCCTCCATCTGTCAAATAGAGTTACTTGGAGAAAACTGAACATTTGGAGCAGGAGTTGTTCAGGCTATTCTATGATAACATCTATACATGATTCAAAAAGCCAAATTGCATTCAGTTAGTTTTCCTCTGCTGTGAGACAGCAGGAATTGGTCTAGTAGATACAACTGTATGACTTTTAGTACTTCAGGTGGCATACATTAAAGGCTTCCCCCACTAGATCCAGAACCTACCTTCCTTCCTCCCAGGCACTGCTGGAGTTGAGGCTTAGTTAGGACACCATATTGGCAGTTGTGGGGCTGCCAGGTTATTTCTCTCCAGTCACACGTCCTGTTGTCTGAACAACTAAGGCAAGGCACGATCCACTGGCCTGGAATAGATGGCAAAACTTTCTTTGGTTCTGTTTCTGCTGATGAAATTATAATTTGTAAGTAACTTTAAAATTCAGCTATGGCACACCATTTCAGAAATTATAGTAAGACCATCCTTATCCTTTAAATCTAGTGGAATAATGAAGGCATGGCTTCCTGCCAACCAAATAGAATAGCAACATTAAGTAATGTTCTGAAATAACACATTTCATGCTGAAATCAAGTATGAGCTCTGTTCCATGAAACCTTATACTTATTAAAAATCTAAGTATTACTCAGTCATTGCCTATTTTTAAACAGTACATTGAGTACTTAAGTAGGACCAAAGCATTAATAGATTGGGAGCCCCCCAAATTAGCAATTAGCCTCAAATATTTATTAGCCTAACACATGCATAGGTTCTCCATCCAATAGTATAATAGATCTATTCCCTGCTCTCAAGAGATTTAAGATACAAGAGAACTACTTCAGTATGATAATTTATTATTTTGAAGATTAGTTATTTTTCTTTGATTTGATTGATGGCCTTTTTGGTGTGAATCTCTTCACCTCTTCCTAGCTGTTGCCTGAATTTCTTCATCTGTTAGATGAGGTGTGTACTATTCTCACATGATTGGTGTAAGGATGTAATGGAGTAATGTATTTAAGACACATTTGCAATATTGTATTTATCTTTTGTTACTAACAGAGTTCAGGTAGAAAGTAGGTCCCAAGCTTTAGCAAATGTTTATAAAATAAATGAATATTCTCTATGCATTTAAGATCTTTCCTGTTTTATTGATAGAATAACATTCATGCAAAACACTTCAGCTTTTAGTGTGAGTGGATACATTAATAATGTGGTAGAAAAATATAATTTTTTTCCTTGTTCATCTTTTCAGGAATTAAGTGTGAACATAGCACATCTTATAAACAAATATGGAGTGGTTATTTCTCTCCTTGTTGGAGAACGTATACAATGATGTCTCTGATGATCACTCTCCTTACCCTAAATATCTTGCTTATGTTACTAGTATATATTTACCCTTCAAAAATGAGGGGCTAAAAATCACTCAGTTCTTGAGTTAGAAAGAAAAAAATTTAAAAACTTTGTCCATTCTGGCTTTGATTAGTGGTACTGCTAATAATGGTATCTGGTGTTATATGAAGTTTAGTGGAAAGGATTTCTGTTTTTGGGAGATGAATATAGTGCATTTTATATTCATGACTTCAGGGATGTTAGAATTGTGAATGTGTTTGTGTGTGTGGAAATAGTTATAAATAATAAAATATGAAAGAGGATATAGTTTATGGCTCTTACTGATTGAGCACAGAAAGAGAAAGAAGTGTAGGTATATTAAGAGAGAGAAACTGGAAGAGATAAAAGAAAATCAGAGGGAAAGGAGATGAGAAAATTATGAATTCCAGGAACGGAAAGAAAATATACAATAACTTTGCGGGGTACAATGTCAACTGGAAGAGAAATACAAAACTTCAAAAGGAATGCAGACTCATTTGTTCTTCTTACCACAATTTTTTTCTTTTCTTTGATTTTTACATGTAATGAGAATTCCAGAAAACTGCTTTATTAAATGTCTATCTACTAGGTACTTTCTAAGCAATTTCAGGAATGATAAATTAACCTTTATGTCTCTGTATACATATGACTCTCTAGAAGGATTTAATACAGTAAGTATATACTCTGTTGAAGTGTGAGGCATTACTGGTGTTAAAATATCATAATAAGTTTTAAAAAACAGTTAACATTTTTCAGAACCTCCCAAATGCTAGGAATATTCTAAAAACTTTAATTTATCAACATATTTAAACATCAACAACCCTGTTATCATCTCCTTAACCAGGGCTCAGGAACTTGTCTGAGATCCTCTAGTTAGTAGGTGGTAGAACTAGGATTTGAGCAGGGCAGTCAGCTCCAGAGTCCATGCTCTTAACTATAATGCTACACCTCAAAAATTTATAATCAGGTTAGAAGGTTATAATTTATACATAATATAATAACTATAGCATCGTAACAAGCAACACATAATGGAGTAAAAATGTCTGTGTGGTTGTCAAAGAGTTGGGGCTTTGGAGACCACACACACCTGGGCTCTATCTCCAACTGGCCCTGCGAACCTCAACATTGACTACATATGAGAGTCACGTGGAAAGCTTTTAAAAATTCCCATGCCCACATTGTACCCCAGACTGACTGAATCACAATCAGTGGGGATGGAGCTCAGGCATCAGTATATTTTAATGCTTCTTTGGTGATTCCAATATGCTGCCAAGGCTAAAACCCACTATTTAAATTGGACAAATTACTTAATCTTTTCATGATTAAATTTACTTCTCTATAAGGAAAATATGTGTAACACCTGCCCTAGTGCCTGATTCCCTAATAGTCAACATATATATTTTATATATTTTCCCACCTCTACTCTCAGAGAGCCACAGTTGTTCAAAATAGAGAAAGAGTCATGGAAGTCAGAGTGTTCCAGAAGGGTCCATGAAGGAAATAAAATGTGAACAGGTGTTTAGGGACAGATAAGATTTGAAGACGTGGAAGGAGTGACACTTTAGGTACAGTGAAGAGATGGGCCTGACGGGAATGAGAATGAAGAACTGGCTGCATATATTGGAGAAAAAGAGGGTCTGCTATGTGAAAGATGTTTCTGAAGTTTCTGGTTATACAGAATGGCAGTACTGCTAAAAGAAACAACACAGAAAATTTTGGAGAGATGCTGGTTTTTGAACAGCAAAATAAAGATTATCCTCCTCAAAAGTGCTTATTTTTCCATCCAATTCTCTTTTATAATTTCTTTTTCATTCAGAATATATCTTGCTTTCTAATTCTGTTCTGGCAAGCATGGTTTGTCATTAATAAACAACATCCTCCACATCTTTGATGTAGACACAGCCTAAAGTTTAATCTTTGTTGATGAATTTCTCAAGCAAATCTCCTTAGATAAATGATAGTCTTTCCTTCACAGAGGTTCACATTGAGTGGCTTCGTAGCATCACGTTGGATGGAGTTAGAAGAGGTCTTACTTAGGGTGTGTCCTTTCTCTCTCCCTGCCCCCTCACTTTTTTTTTTTTTTAACAGAAGAGGCACTCTGAGGCCTGAAGAGTTAAATAACAGAAGTGGGGTCATGCTGTTAATGACAGAGCCAGAACTGAGGTCTCTGAGTCTTCAATTTGCCTATCCTTTTATCATATTAGGCTAGGTCACCACAAAATAATCAGCAGAAAATGAAATACAGCCCCACTGCCTCTTTGGTAGCACTTATAGGAAAACTCACAAACTGATTGTTACAATGAATTTATTTTAAAAGGCTGAATTTATTTAGCGAGTTCCTGTGTTGACAGAGACTATGTTTAAGCAAAGATTGTTAATTTTCTTTCTAATAGGATAATGATATGTTGAGGGCATAAATGTGTCTCTGCTAATGAGATTCTATTTAATAATCTTTTGAAGGGCTAAGTTTTCATCAGATCTCAGAATCTCAGAGCATATGCATCCCACCCCTACTCCAGACACTCCACCCCTCAACCTTGCTGACAGCTAATTTTGCACAAACTGAGGCCCACTTTGGCCACTTGCTGCCAAGGATGAAGAAACAAGTGGCTAATTGCGTGCACAAAGATTCAAATATGGGTGCAATTAGTTTGTGGGCATGAAATCGCATGCACATAAAAAGGAAGCCTGATTGGATCTCTGAAAACTTGGCCCCAGTGGTTCATACTACTCTATATTTATACAGCCATCACTCTGCATTTTTGCATTGGTTAACAATTCCTTTTATTTATTGTGAGTTAAATACTGCTTGCAATAGGCATCTGTATAACATCTGCAAAACTGGTGCTCTTGACATTTTAAATAATACCAGCTCTTTGCTAAAATTGTCCAAAAAAGTACCATAAATTCTATGTTATATATTTGAACACTGAATGAATCAAAGCTGTGATTTCTGAAGTAAAGTGTGACATACGTTTTAGGAAACAACATTCTGAGGAATGAAATTGTCTTTTGGGAGAAGTCATTTGATTTATAATTATAGCTCTATATTTAATGCAAGTTAGATTTCAGCCATTTCAGTGGGTCAGATTGAATGATACAACGGAGGAAAAAAGGTCAACTCTGGTTTAGTGTTGAGGTGAGACAGGAAATCATGTAAATGTTGGCACTAATTTCTGACTCTGTAATGTTCTAATACAAAGCATTTTTACTTAAGAAGAAAAAATCCATCTATATTTTCAATATTAGTATTAAAGTATAAGTTGTCATAATTTCTTGCTAAAATAAGGTAGGATAATATTTTTAATTGTTTACATATCATAAAATGCAATCTGAAATATTTTCCTTAAAGTTAATTCTCATTCAATGACCACTGTAGAAATTTTTATTTTTCCTAATTAGAATAATTATTTTTTTTTGCTTAAGCAACAGATTTAATTATAGGTTGTATCTTACAGTTAAATTATTTCCTAAAAAATAGAAATCAATTTAAGAATTAAAAAAATACAGTCATTCAAAAGTTTAATGGCTGATGTTATTGAAAATGATATCTTGAGATCAATACATAGGCAAAGCGAAAAAAAGAGATCTGGTTTTGCCAAATAACTGTAATGTGCTTTTAAAATAAGATTTTCAAATTAGTCTATTTTTGGCCATTAAAACTAAATCCAGAGCTCCTAAATAAACTTTCTCCCAATTTGGTCCACTATAACAACTTCTTTCAGTAGGAGGGAATCCTGCTGCTAAGGAAGGAAATCATCTCTAGCAGCAAATAATACATTCTTGCAGACTGCTATCCCGGCCTCACTTGTTAAGTTTTTGAGTCTTTGGGCCTTTTGGAGCTTGAGGATGGAACAGTTGGTTGTCGTGATTGTGCCCTGGCTGCTCATAGTCTTCTGTGGATGGGAGGGAGGTTGGATCTTGGTTTTAGTTCAGCAATCATTTTAAAATCATATATTAGACATTGGAAGATGGATAAGGGACAATCTCTTCTCTAGAGAAGCCTGTGATCTAGGTAAGCCATCAGTAAAAGCATATTGCTCATGCACCCTTGATGCATTAATGAGTACACTGCAATATATATATTCTATATATATTCCTATATTTATATATTTTATCAATTATAAAACATAAAAAGAAAAATATCAGGTAAAATATAAATGCATATATATTTTAATCTTTATCGGCTTCACCCTATGAAGAGCCCCGTGCCACTTCCTTTTCTTCCTGGGGAACATCATTTCGTTTTGGAGACTAAGTGAGAACCATGTAAATACTTAACATAATGTGGTAAAGTGCTGTTGCAGACATGTGCCCCGGATATACTGGGAAGAAGCTAAGCTGGGAATCTGGTGGTGAAAAAAGGCTTCCTGGAGAGGACTTCCAGCATCAGAAGTTGGGCAAAGATGGGAAGAGGACTTGTGGGTAAAGGGAACAGTGTGGACAAAACCTGAAGTTCTAAAGGATCACTGTCAACATAGAGAGGCAGAGGCTGGGAGAAGACTGGAAATATAGAAATGGGCCAGATTAGGGAGGCTTCAAATTGTCAGGCTAAGGAGCATGCCCTTGATTTGTGAGTCAATTTGGGGCCTTCTTTAAGGAGGTCTAGCTCCTTAAGTACCAGAAGCCCACTGTTCTACGGCAGCCTCACCCACAATGTCCAGGCACAAAGCCCAACATAAGTTAGCGTACATTTAGTGAGCGAACAGAACAAGCTGCCACTTCTTAAAGAATCCCAGTAATGTACCTGGAACTTTTTGTTGAAGAACTTTTGCCTTGGTGCAGTTGAAGTAGGAGGAATAGAATTGTTTTATGAATTCTCATAAATTGTCATCTGATAAAAAATATTTAACTGGACACATCAGTGTCTCCTTTGTATGGAAGAGTATATATCTCATTTAGCAGAGAATCACAAATCACACCACCTGACACACCATAATGGGCAAATCCCTCTCCATTCCCTGATTGTAATTTATTATTTGGAACACATGTTCAAGAATGAGGACATACCCACGTTTGTTAACTGTGCATGCCAAATTGCAATTTGTCCTGCCCATTTGGGAAACTCATTTCCCATTCAAGCTGTGGTGTGAAGTTCACGGCAAGGGTAGAAAAGCTCCTGAGTGTTTTCTCAGATGAAGGGAGAATTGGGGTCAGGAGGACAGAGCAGTAACCAGGAAATTTGGAGAAGATGCTCTCTGTTCCTCTAATAGCTTTGAAGGCAATTTTAATCCCAACTTTGGCTTGACCCCACCATCTCCACTAAAAGAAGATTGTTGGGGAAGTAGAGAAATAGGGAATGTTGAGAGTGGCACCAAAGAAGTATCTCATTCCAGGTCTGCTCAGTGCTTAGGCAGGATTTAACGCAGTAATTAAATTTGATGTCACAATTTTCTTGCCTCTATAAATGACTGATATATGAGGGAAACTAGTGATCGGGCCCCCTAACTTTTTTTTTTTTTTAGTGAAAAGGAATAATTTAAAACTGAACTTGCATACTTTGCAGTTCTTTGGTTCACACTAGATATTTATTTTCTAACTACTATGTACAAATTACGGTGCCAAATGAATTAGTATAACGCAAACAAGTCAGGCTCTCTGCCCTCATGAAACTGACATCCTGGGAAAACTGACATTAAACAATTAATTCAATACTTAGTCATTTAAATAATTGTGGTAACTGCTATGGAAGAAAATTACTGAGTGCTATAAACTATATAATAAATAAATCAGAGGCTCAAGAAAGGCTCTCTGGCAGAAGTAACATGGGTAACAGATCTGCAGATGAATATAGATTAACTGGGCAAAAAGGGGAGAAGAAAATAATTGATTAATCAAAGTATTTCAAATATTAAAATAATGTACTTACATTAATTATGTTTTATAGTTCATAGTCAATAAAAAGTAATGTCCTTGATTTTTTTATAGAAGGATAGTTTAAATAAGCATATACTTATCTATACCAAATTATTCTTTTTTTAGAGAAGTGATGTCCAATGTGATAGTCACCTTTCATGTCCCCAGATGGACATCTTTTTAGTTCAGACTGTAAAATGGCTTCAATGTAGTCAGAAGAAATAGGCTGTAACCCACAGGTTTCCTCTGGATGAATCAGCAAACCACAATCCTGCATTAAAATAATAGATATTAGTTGTCATATTAATTAACCTGACCCATAATATTAAAATCTAAAAAATAAGATTTTCTGTGGCAAATAACCTTTATGGATAAAAAGGAGCAAGTATTCCTTATCTTTCCCCTGCTGGCTTATCAATAGTTGTTTGTGCTAAAAGTAGATAACAATTTAACCTTTATTTTGACATTGATATTCATGTCATTGTTCTGTCAATTTAAAAAATGAATGCAAGTTTTACTTTAAAAATATATCTGTGTCAACTCATTAAAAACAAAAGAAACTATAATAGAGGACAATATAGCAAGTGCAAAAGACAGTTAATGTGAGAAGGAAAATGGGAACTATTTGGAGAGAATTTAATTTAACAGATGAATTTCATTTTTTAACAAACTTTTCTTAAGAATTCATGATACACCAGAGTGGAATCAGATGCATGTATTTTATTCAAAACACATTCTTATATTTACAACAGTGAGTAACATTTCACTGCACTGAATATCATTATAGAGGCATGTGCTATACTAAGCAATGCTTTCAATAGTCTGACAGATGTAGAACAGAAGGATAGTGTATTGCCTCTCTGAAACTTCTCTCCTTCTCCTTCCTCTGCCCCACCCACTGAGCTGCTCCTGCAGCCTGGACCACTCTCATTTTCTCTTAGCTTATTCTGCAAAGCTATTGGCCCTGTACCTGTCCTATGTCCTTCTATCCTACTTCATGTGGTTCCACTACCACTCTTCTCACTGTGTTCTCTCACTCTATCACAATTTAGGGCATGCTAAAATCCTATCATGTCGACTGGGATTGCTTTTCCCCTAATTTTGCATGGAGACATCTTGCATTTTAGGTCTCAGCAAGGTCTTCCTGAAACTCTAGCACAATTACGTCTCCCTACTTTTGTTCATGTCAGCACCCCATTTGTTTCCTTCATGCTCTTCACCATTTGATAACTGTTTGTCAGTTTGTTTATTATTTGTCTGGGTCTTTTCTACTATACTGAATGTGCCATGGGAACAAATAATTATTTCACTCACATATGGAACCAGTACTTATCATATAGCAAACAGTAAACATTTGTTGAATGCATAAAAAGTTAGACTTTATTGTGTCCCTCTTTATATCAGAAATTCTCAACAATGGAGAGAAACAGTGGATTTGACCTCTTCTTTGCTGTGTAACTCTGGTTCTAATCAGCAATTTATGGTTACATTCTCTCATATTCTCAACTATCCTAACCTCAGAATCCCAGATCTCATACAAAAAGGTCCAGGATATTAAGGAACAAGAGGAATGGAGTGAGTGAACTTAAAATCTTGATTCAGTATACATATTTTCATTTCTTAATTCATGACAAAACATGTAGTTTAAGATACTGATTAAAATTAGAAAAATTATTTGTATTAAGATGCTTATTATAATAAAGCAATAAAAACCACAAAGTTTATTATAATGTGGGGCGATCTAGTCTGAATAAACATCTATGAGTGATATTTGTTAGTATACCCGTGTATGTGTGTGATATCTATCCAACCATTTATTTTTAGTGGAGACTGGATCTTTTATAAGGCTAGAAAAAAGTGTCATGACTCATCTTGCAAAAATATGTTTATATCAAATGTTAGAGCAATGAGAAGCAATTACCATTACACATTGCTGATGGGAATGCAAGTTAGTTCAGTTGCTTTGGAGGGCAGTTTATACCAAAATAAAAAGTGCAGAGGCTCTGCAGCCCTGGAGACTTCTGGGTCTACTCTAGAAAAACATAAGGGATATGTATAAGGATAAATCTAAATGGACTAACTAACATGGAGATATTTCCAAGACATATGGATAAGAAAACACCCAAAAGTTAGAGAACAATTCATGCTATCTGAAATACACATATGTATGTGTGTGTTCACTCAATCAAGAATGTACTAAATATTGATTTTTTGGGAACAGGTATGTCTCTGTTAAGAGAATAAAAGGAAATCTGGATGATGGTAGTTACCTGTAGAATATGTTCCTGGACTGGCAGTGGATGTCAAGGAGGCTTTAGCTCTATCTAGGATGCTTTACTTTTTATTTAGGGAAAATGTTATTCTTCTAGTACTTGTGAAACTCAATCTTAGTTTGAAGTATTATAAACAACTTTCATCACCCCAGCTGGAGACTTGGCTGGTCCTTCAGTCTAGGAGGTACCATGTTGGACATTACTTTTAAATACAAAGTATTTACCTGTTTATAGTTCTATATGCTATAATGTCATCTAAACGTTAAGTACTTCAGACTGAGATGCTGTGTTCAATTTATTAATAAAAATATATTTTAGCTTATATATACCCATGCAAATAATGTTGAAACATTTTTTAAAGTTTGGATTTAAACTTTTCTTGAAAATTCTTGTTTTGAGATTTCTGTCGGGTGTGTGTGTGTGTGTGTGTGTGTGTGTGTGTGTGATCATGTGCCACTACTCATCCAAAGGGCATTAGAAACAAAGTCTAGATCACAGATACCAAAGTCCTAACTGGTTTCTTCTGTTGAAGCTCTACATGTAATTGGCAAGTATCTATGAATCAGAAAGATATATTGCTACTTGTGTGTTGAGGGCTTGTCCTGGGCAGGTGACCACTCCTGCTACCTAGAACCTCGTGTTGTTTTTGCATCTGCATTGTTCTGAAATATGGTGCTGTCTCTCCCTTCATATGGAGGTTCCCACTGGGTATCTGCTCTGTGACAGATAGTCAGTCAGCAATGTTGTTTCTAACTAAACAGTGACACCAGTACGTTTTGAGGTAAGACAATAATCATAGCAGTATTTCCAAGGACAGACCAAAGCAGAGAGTAAGAGGAGGACAGGAGACTTTGAAGGAAATGACATTTCGAGTCATACCCTTTTCTCTGCAGTTTAGGCCAAACAATGTCCTATGGCATTCTGTGCTTCCTATCGAATTTCCCCTTAGTAGTTAATCTTTGTTTGCAGTTTACATATCTTAAGCCTTTCCATTAAAGTGTTCACTATTTTGGAGAGTCAAGGGCAGCTCACTAGAGTGAAGGTTAATCACCTTCTGAGCTGTGGCCAAACAATGTTACCCTGAAAGTTGAATGAGCCAAAGCATATGGCCAAATGCAGACCCAAGTCCAGAGGCTGGTTGACAGAGCTGAGGGAGTTAAGAGAAGAAAAGGTAGTATCAGTACAGCAGGGCAGGCTTTGTGTACATTTTATGGAATAAGACAATGGTGAGATACATAGGAAAGAGCACCACTGTGCTGGGAGTTTCACTTGTGAATATTAGCTCCAGCTGTGTCATAAGCTGGCTGTGTGACACTAAGTCACTTGATCTAGATTTCTCATTACAAAATGGTGAAGGCTGGAGAGAGGAGAAGGCAAAGAATTGTGTTAGGTGAGCTCAAGTCCTGATGCTGACTGCCTTAGGTACCTACACCTTATCCATTCTCCTTTCTTCTTTTTAGCAGAAAAACCCGTATTTTATTGGAGTAATGTGCCCAGCATTAAAAAAATTGGTTTCCCAGTCTCTCTTGTAGCTAAAAGGAGTCAGGAGACATAGCTCTAGTCAAAGAAATGTAAGTGAACACCAGCTAGCGAGTTCTGGAAAAGTTTTACTTTCCTGGTGCCACTTTTTCTTGATCACTCTGTTTCATCTTTCTGGTTGGAATATGAACGTGAGCCTGAGAATGAGCAGCCATCTTGTGACTATGAAGCAACCATAGGGAGAAAAAATAGAATGAGCCTAGGATATAGGTGATGCTGTGGAGCTATGTCTACACTTTTTACTGTGAAAAACAAACTCCTACTTGGTCAAGCCCCTATAGAAACATAAGATGCAGCCAAATTTCTCTCTTCCTCACAGAGTCTATGAAACTTATAATTTAAACGCCACATAAGTGTTTTTGAGTATTTCTTTAGATCTTAAAAGTGATTAATCATAGTAATAACATTAAAAAACAGGAAAATTTTCATTAGTGTCTCTCATTTCTTTCTTTGGGATGATTAGCAATTTGGTCAGGTTTAGGCATATTGAATATATTAGATACTTTAAAAAAAAAACAGTTTTGTTGTTGTTGTTGTTGTTGTTGTTTTGAGACAGAGTCTTCCTCTGTCACCCAGGCTGGAGTACACTGGTAGCATCATGGATCACTGCAGCCTTGAACTCCCAGGCTCAAGCAGTCCTCCCATCTCAGCTTCCTAAGTAGCTGGGACTACAGGCACATGCTACTGTGCCCAGCTAACAGCTCTTTTTTGGTCTTAAGTGTCATCTCTTGGAGCCACAGATCTATAGACACAGAAAATGTAGTATTTAGCAGAGTTGCATAAAACAGCATTAGCTCCAGAAATCTTCACACTTAGAGTGAATCATTTTGTTGGAGACTTCAAAAGGAAGCTCTAAACTCCTGAGTAGATTGTCATAGTTCTCAACTGAGTGCAACAATATACTTAACAGGAATTTTGTTGTTCATACCTGTGCAAAGTAAATATGTTTAGTACATAATTTAAAAAATTTACTTAACTTTTCATGAGGTGCTAGAGTGACTAACTGGACTCATTATGATGTTCTTGGTTTTTCCTCCTGCCTGATCACAGTTTCTCATTATCTATTCTTCTGGACACACATTTCATTCCTTACAGAATTATTCGTCCACAAAAGAATGAGTAATATTTCTCATTTTAAATGTGATATTGCTACATTTTTAAAGCAATACTGAATTGGACTATTTGAGCTGATCTGTGTCTTTAAATCTTAACTACTTTTATTGACCCCATGGAATTATTTCTCTAAGATGAAAGAATTTTTCCTTTCTCTGGCTAAACAATTTTAAATGCCCACCTAAATTTTAAAATATGCAATTACTCCCTCCAGCACGTAGCTCCTTCCAAAGAGACCCATTTCCTCTCCTTTCCCTGGGCTACTGCCATTTCCAGTAAGTTAGTAATGATCTCTCAAAACGTGATGATTCGGGCATGGCCAGCTCCCTCTGGAAAGGCAGAGTGT